TCCGAACTTATATTGATTTAAAGGAACACGTCCCTCCAAAATAATATAGAGGAATATATCTCTCCAACACAGTATAAAAAATATATATAGGGATACATCTCTAAAAAGAGATATATATATATATATATATATATATATATAAACTCATAAAAAAATGACAGATCTCAAAATCATTATTCATTCCTTGGGGAATGAGAGTATTCAGCTCAAATATCCACCTCATCTCCGTACGGCCTAAATTCTGGATCAAGGTGCCTTCTCTCCAATTATTATTGACCTGTTGGATCCCTATGAACTTTAAGAGAGATGGGTCAGAATTATGAAACTCCTCAAAATGTAGGGACACTTGATGTAATTGGTATTTTCTCTTTATGTTATAAGTGTGCTCACATATTCTTGTTCGTAACTGTCTAGTTGTCCGGCCTATATATCTCAAGCCACATAGACAAAGTAACATATATATCACATTCACATCTAAAAAATCCCTTTAGTTGACTCATAAAGTTTGATTTAGATTTTATTCGAGATATTATTGGTCAAAATCCTTTTCATATTTTCCACCCCTCTATGTATTATTCTTGGGATAGGTGGTAAAAATTTTGCTAAAACAGGATCTTTTAATAACCAATGCCAGTGCTCAGAAATAATTTTTCTAACTTGTTTGTTCTGAGGTCCTGAGAATTGGCAGATGAAGGGAACATTCTCTTGTTGTTGTATATTTTCTTTTCTAGCATTATACTTTAATAAGCTGTCTCTATCGATGCATTGGGTATCGTCTATGGCTTTACATAAGGTGTAATCATTATAGCCTCTCTCTTTAAAATCAGATATAATTCGTTGACTTTGATGTAAAAAAATCTTTTGATCTGTGCAATTTCTTTTTATTCTGGTTAATTGGCCTCTCGGGATGTTAGTGAGCCAAGGACTAAAATGACAACTACTAATTTCTATGTAGCTGTTTACATCAACGGATATAAAAAAGGATTTAGTCTTAATAGTGTCAGCTTCTATATAGATCGTAAGATCTAGGAAGTTGACCTCTTTTTTACTATAATCAAAAGATAAGTTGATCCCCCACTGGTTAGCGTTCACCTGCTGAATAAATGATTTTAAAAGTTCTTCCCCTCCCCGCCAGATAAAAAACAGGTCATCTATGTAGTGCCTGTATAGCACCAAGTTCGTCTCCCAGCCACTATCCCCTCTAAAATGGAGGGACTCCCAGCGTACCATAAACAGGTTCGCGTAACTGGGAGCGAACTTGGTGCACATAGCTGTGCCACAGACTTGGAGGTAGAACTCGTTATTGAACCAAAAAAAGTTGTTATGTAGAATAAATTCTATAGATTTGGGACAAGGTGGTTCCAGACCAAGGTCAGGATGGCCCCAGAATCACGTAATCCCTGTATACATTTCTCTTCCATGTGTACGACCTGGCAGTGACCCTGGTGGTTATCGGATGCTGCTTGGATGGGGTTGACCTCATGGAGTGCTCCCAGTGGCTCCTCTACCTGTGAGTCGTGGGTTGGATGGGTTGTTCACTCTGGTAGCAATGTACAGCAGCCCGAGCACCAGGGGCTTGGCCTTGGTTGTGCCAAGTTTGCCTGTTTCTGTTTTGTGGGCATTCTCTTTGCATGTGCCCCTGCTGGTTGCAGGTGTGAAAGCAGATCGGAGGCCGGGTTGTGTATCTTGGAGGGTACTGGTTACTGGCTCCCCCTGGTCGTGGGTGATTTGATGTGGTAACCGCTGGAAGGGGTGCTGCAGATTCGGAGAAGGCGCGGTGCTGTGATCGATGGTCTCACCTGGCCTTGATGTTCATCTGCTAGCCTGGACACTTCTTGTAGGGTACGGGGTTTACGATCCCTTAGCCAGTTCTGCAGGTCTATCGTCAGCCTCTTGAAGAACTGTTCCAACAAGATCAATTGAAACAGATCTTCCAGGGTAGTAGCTTGTTTTGGTTGTACCCATCTCCTGGCATCTCGGTCTAGGCGGTGAGCAAATTCTGCGTGGGAGTCTTTATCCTGTTTCTTAAGATCCATGAATTTGAGTCTGTAGGCCTTTGGGGTAATGGCATAACGGGCTAGGATGGCTTGTTTTACCTTTTGGTAGTCCCTGCTGTCCTCATCTGGAACTGCGTGGTACATCTCTTCTGCACGGCCAGATAATCTACCAGCAAGCAGGGGTATCTGGTCTGCTGGACTGATATCATGCAGCTGGCACAGGCTTTCGAAATCCTGCAGATATCCGTCAATATCACCCTCTGCTTCTGTGTAGTTTTTAAAAGTTGGTAGGGAATCTTGGCTTTTCCCTGGGTGATGCTGGATGGGGCTGGCGACCCCTCTCTGGATCGCTGGTTTGACTGTAGTTGTCTGGCCATGATGTATTCCTGCACATCTGCCATCAGTCTCTCCAAGGTTTCTGTGGGTGGTGTTTCTGGATAAAATGCCAACCTGCTCCTGAGCTCTTTTCTGAATTCAGTTTGCTCTGTCTCCAGTGGAGGCAATGCATTAGTTGCTCTGTCTCCCTCCATGAGTTCGGCAATAAGTGTAGCTTTCGTCTTGTTGCTGGCTATTTTCCCCCTTGCCTCCAGTAGTTTCTTTAATTTAGCTCGTTTCAATGTTGCATAGTTAATCTCCATTCACCGTCCATTCGCATAGTTTAACATATTCCCGAACTCCGGTTTTGATACGAATGGTTGTTTCACCGAACTGCTGCTTCTCTTTCTCCATTCACATAAATAACTCCCGAACGTTGCTTTGCTGTATGGTTTCAATAAAATTCTACTCAGAATTAGCCGAATGACCCTTCATTGAATAGCTGGGATCTGAGCGCACCATCTGGCGAAATACCACTCAGATCCCTTCACTAGAATAGAACGCACATTGCACTATACAGTTGAAGGTGGGCTGTTGGGCCAGAAGCATTCGTGAGGTTAAAGTTTGTCGATGTCACGGTTCTCACTGCGACATCAAGACTGCCAGACGAGGTCGCCCCAGAAGTGCCCAATAATTTTGATTTGGGTACTTTGCGGTCCTGGGCCTGCTGTTTCTCCTCTGAGCCACCATACAGCTCAAGCAATAGCCTGAAGTTTGAAGCTTGCCTTGTATCCAGCACTGGGGGTTGGAATTTACCTGAGACTGCTCCTGTCACTCATGGTTCACCTGTGGCTGATCACTGATTAGACAGGTATAAGACACTGCCTCTTCCTGAGTGCAGTGTCAGTTCATTGACTCTGGTTCCCATATTGGTGTTTCATGTTCCAGTGTTCTCCTGTTGATTCCTGATCTTGGCTTGTTATTTCATGTATCCTAACTTCTGGCATCATCTGACTTCAGCTCTCTACTCGTTTATCCTGATTTCTGGAACCCACTGACCTTTGGCTTACCCACGACGATTCTCCTGTTTATTTCCTATCTGTACTGTGACTTGGAGCATTACCTGCACAGCCTCACAGGCAAGGTGAGTTCTTACCTGAACACCTTGGCCTGTGTTTAATTGCAAGGGTGAGCATTAGTGATGTACCGAACGGTTCGCTGGCGAACGGTTCCTGGCGAACATAGCATGTTCGCGTTCGCCACGGCGGGCGAACATATGCGCGGTTCGACCCGCCCCCTATTCGTCATCATTGAGTAAACTTTGACCCTGTACCTCACAGTCAGCAGACACATTCCAGCCAATTAGCAGCACACCCTCCCTAGCAGACCCTCCCACCTCCTGGAAGGCATCTGTCACGAACGCACCCTACTCCAAGAGTGTGCGTGACGTAGTTGTGGTGGTGAAAGGGTTAAAGTACACTATTTGTCTGCACTAGACCGGAAATAATGACAAAATCCCCCTTTAACACCACCCACACTTAAACATAATAATATAACTATTACTACTTTAACGCTGCCACCACCAAGACAATTTATAAATGGGGTGCCTTGGTCCCCCAGGTAAATCAATAATAAAACCCACCAAATATTACTTAGTACAATATTTAAGGAATTATAAAAATACTAACTAGTCTCTTCAGGTAACGTGATTCTTAACCAGACAAAGGCAAAACTTAATAAATGAATGTTTATTATGAGCAAAAGATAGTCACAGTGCATATAAAAATATATGATAAATTATTAACACCAACAACAGATAAAAACAAAAAGGATAAAATACAGAAGTCCTAATTACTCACTTAGGTTTTCAAAGTACAACTTCTGTCCAGGGGGTCTCTGGCAAGGAAAGATGGTGACTCACCCAAAATTAGATCTTGGCCCCAAGCAAGTACACCAACACCCTTCAGGATCATTAGATATATACCCTGTGGTTTATCAAGTCTTGCCCAGGGGTGGAGTTAAGGCGTACCTACAGAAATAATAACTGACCACCTCCTTTGTTCCAGACCACTGTCAATCCAAATGGAAACATTTGACTCTATCTTCTTTTTTGTACCTGCCACAGAAATAATAATTGCATCTACAAATTTGTTATTATTTTCCCATTCCATAGACATGTTGCACGTCCCACCCACGATCCAATAGGACGGACATCACAATTCCTTTCCCTAGGGTCAAGTTAGGCCACTCATGTTTGGACTTGGTTAGAAGATGGCGCTTGTCACATTCCAAATATAACAAAAATGAGGCTTAATTATTATTCTGTGGGGGTAAATATGGATGTTTTTGTCCTTCATTTGGATATGATACTAGAACAAAGCTAATGGCATTTACATATCAAAGAGATTTACTCATCCCTTACAAGGTACAGGCCAAATGGATGAAGAGACATTCAGACTTTTTCCAAGTGTAGAACCTCACACCTTGCAGACTTCACATCCATACAGTAAAATCCTTTTCACATTCCTCTGCCATTCACACTACCCCTTCTGTCATCTGCCCTCTGTGGGGGTCCCAGCTTCAAAAGATGTAACCCCTGTTGACCTCAGCAATAGTAATTTGTGCCATTTACTACAAGAAATCACATTAAAAGATGATATTCCATAGTGTCATAATAAATTATACACCCTTGCCGTGACAGCATCCATTTTAGATTCATTCTCAAGCTGCATGCTTAGTAAGAGGAGGGAAAGTGTAGCTGCTGTTCATTAGATAGGGAAAAGCATAGCTAGGTTAGGGTTAGGGTATGCTTTTTTTAAAAAAAAATTTCTATGTAATGTAATTGCACTTAGTTGTCTGCCACTGCTGCCAGCTTCTGTGTCAGGCTCACAGTGCATACTGTGCCCATTTCCCCAGTCAGTGCCACCACTTACATCTGGTGTCACAATAGCTTGGATTTAAAAACAAAAAACTTTTTTCACTGTTATAGATTGAATAGCAGTCAGTTGTCTGCCACTGCTGCCAGCTTCTGTGTCAGGCTCACAGTGGATACTGTGCCCATTTCCCCAGTCAGTGCCACCACTTATATCTGGTGTCACAATAGCTTGATTTAAAAACAAAAAACTTTTTCACTGTTATAGATTGAATAGCAGTCAGTGTCCTTAAAGCGGGTGTGTTACGCTAACAGTGGATACGCTGACAAGTGCCACTAATTAGATCCTGTGTCACAATAGCTTGGATTTAAAAACAAAAAACTTTTTTTTCACTGTTATAGATTGAATAGCAGTCAGTGTCCTTAAAGCGGGTGTGTTACGCTAACAGTGGATACGCTGACAAGTGCCACTAATTAGATCTGGTGTCACAATAGCTTGGATTTAAAAAAACAAAAAACGTTTTTCACTGTTATAGATTGAATAGCAGTCAGTGTCCTTAAAGCGGGTGTGTTACGCTAACAGTGGATACGGTGACCAGTGCCACCACTTAGATCTGATGACACAATAGCTTGGATTTAAAAACAAAAAACTTTTTTCACTGTTATAGATTGAATAGCAGTTAGTTATCTTCAAGCAGGTGTGTTACGCTAACATTGGATACGGTGACCAGTGCCACCACTTAGATCTGGTGACACAAAGCTTGTATTTAAAAACAAAAAACACTTTTTTCACTGTTATAGATTGAATAGCAGTCAGTTATCTTCAAGCAGGTGTGTTCGCAGCTAACAGTGAATCGATGACCAGTGCCACCACGCACTTAGATCTGGTGTCACAATGGCTTGGATTTAAAACAAAAACTTTTCACTGTTATAGATTGAATAGCAGTCAGTGTCCTTAAGCGGGTGTGTGCATGCTAACAGTGAATCTGGTGACAGTGCCACCACACTTAGATCGTGACACAATAGCTTGGATTTAAAAACGAAAACTTTTTCACTGTTATAGATTGAATAGCAGTTAGTTATCTTCAAGCAGGTGTGTTACGCTAACATTGGATACGGTGACCAGTGCCACCACTTAGATCTGGTGACACAAAGCTTGGATTTAAAAACAAAAAACTTTTTTCACTGTTATAGATTGAATAGCAGTTAGTTATCTTCAAGCAGGTGTGTTACACTAACAGTGGATTCGGTGACCAGTGCCACCACTTAGATCTGGTGACACAATAGCTTGGATTTAAAAACAAAAAACTTTTTTCACTGTTATAGATTGAATAGCAGTCAGTGTCCTTAAAGCGGTGTGTTACGCTAACAGTGGATACGGTGACCAGTGCCACCACTTATATCTGGTGTCACAATAGCTTGGATTTAAAA